AGTAATCTTTCAAGGATTGATTAATAATGCAGATGTTTTAGTATTATTACACCACAAAGATAATAATTAGGGAAGTTTTCTGCCTGTTGGTTATTGCCAATTACCAGGTAACAGCAAATATAGGTATATTGGGCACAAATTTGGGTGAGAAATAACTACTTTTCCAAATTTAACTTTTCACCACAACATGACAATTAAAGTAAGATGTAGCACTTTAAAAATCTTCCATTTCGGAATGAGTTTTTATGCGGTCTGTCAACATTTGATAGCAGATATAAAACAGAAACGGACCTGCTCTATGCATTTGCTGCTTGAGTAACAAATGCACATTTTTTACATTATTGTTACACCTCCTAGTGATTGAAGAGTGACCAAACAAACCAGCTAATCAAAAGGAGAGGCAGCTTAGAGCCTGTAATTCCTGTAACAGGAATTACAGGTTCTATTACAGCTTTAGCTGCATTGCTTTGCAAACATATCTGCACCCTTTGAATTTTTTTCCTTACAAGCAAAAACATAATTTATTTGGACTTATAACAGACCAACACAAAGTAATGCATTCTTGTTTATAAATAAAAACCTGATCATACGTTTTTTTTAATATATGTATATTGAAGTGTGTATTTATTTTTGACCCCTTAATGAGATTGAATGTTAGCAATTCCCTTCGAAAGTCATTTAGCAAAAAGGATCCACCATTTGCCATCCACCTGAGGTTTCGTGCAGGTCAGCAACAGCTAGGGAACATCACAAATATAAGCAAGAGGTTTCTGGAAATTCTGGGGGAGCAGCAGACATCCACAGCTCAGGTGGAAGAAGAGTTGACAGGACAACCATTAGTTATGCACACCATAAAGCCGGCCTTCACGAAGAGCCGTTGTGCCATGTGAAGCCATATATATATATATATATATATATATATATATATATATATATATATATATATATATATATATATATATATATATATATATATATATATATATATATATAAGGGGATGAGAATGTGTTTGTTTATACATTGAAAAGGGGGAGAAGAAAAGAAAGAATAAGAGATTATCCACATACCTAATGTGGATAATCTGTAAATCTCTCCTTACTGTGCTTCTTTAAAACAAGCGTCGTTGTCGTTTTTCTTCTTCAGCACATAATCTGAACTGTTATTTTTGCCGTCTGCTGTCTTCTGTACCACCCCCTTACTTCTGTCTAAGACTATAATTGTCCAGCACACACAGACCACTCAGTCATAAACATCCAGGATGCACGTAGACATATCCAGGCCTCTAACAGACCCTAATCGGTGAAGCTCACGCTTTGGAATCAACATACAAATTGTCTAATATGTGTGTATCAGGCCTTAGAAATTCCCATAACTCGTTTGAGGTCATGGTGAGGACAACTGATAAAAAGGACACAACAAACACGAGGAAGAATGTGTTCTTCCTTGTGGAGCCAAAAAAATCTATTTTGAGCCTGTTTGTGGGAACACTAGCGACGCATAATCATTGTGAAACCTGGTTGTGGCAGCATCATGTTGTAAAGATGCTTCTGTTTGACAAGGACAGGCAGGATGGTTGGAGCTGCTGGCACTGTGGGCGGAGCTAAATACAGGAAGTAACCTTGTCAAAGGCTGCAAAACACTTGAAAGTGGAGAAGGGGTTTTCCTTCCTGCAACACAACTACCCTAAAGATGAAAGCTACAGTAGAAATGCTTAGATCAAAGCATATCGATGAACAGAATGAGCTAAACTTTAATCTCAAGTCTTGAGGGTGGGTGTTCACAGATACTGCCCATGCAATCCCACAGAGGTTGCGGTATTTTTCAAAGAATGTGCACAAGATGGGCAAATCTGGAGACAAACCCCAAAAGATCTGTTGTAATTGGATTCACTGACATGTTTTCTGATTAACTTGAGTAGCAATTAAATGTATTCAAGTAGTGTTTTCCACTTATGAAAAGCACAAAGTTATTCGCATAGTGATATTTGTGATACCGAACCAGTTGGGGACGTTTACAATGTCGTTGCAGAGCCAGTGAAAGTGTTGCAGTGATATTGATGGGTCCATAAAGAGGAAACACCTGGCCCAACTAAAATCATCCACTGAGCATAAATCAAACTGTGATGGCCAACTGGGAAACCACAGAAGCTAAAACATTACAGATAACAGACAGGTTGAATGAACCAGTTTCTAATCTAATCCACCACGAGAAAAGCCCAACTGCTGCCTGCACAGCCTCAAACATGCTGATTGGGCTGATCTCACCGCTGAGTTGAGTTTCATCTCGAGATCTGAGGTCTGGCTGCTCAGCAAAAAAAAAAAAAAAAAAACACGCACCAGGTTTTTTTTATTATCATTATTATCACAATACAGATCTGTGACGCCGTTTGTGAAACTCCTGATGACGCCCAGCTTGGACTTAACTCGCCTGAACTACGGCACGTCTGCAGCCTCCTTCGCCAATCAGGATCCTGCGGGACTCGCATTAACATGCCAGACTAATTGATCGGTCAAACTGAGGCGCAGCAGCAGGTCCGCTCATCGACCAGCAGCGGGAGCAGCGCGCAGCCGAGCAGCCGCAGCTGTTGATCTCATGGTTGTCAGGCAGATGAGCCGGCCTGGAGCCTGCTGTTTTGTTGACATGAGAAAAAGAAAGTAAAAGTTTGAAAAAGCGGTACTTTTTTTTTGTTTCATTGTTCTCATATGTTTCTTTTTCAATACACAGCAAGGGTGCGTTCTTCTTAAGATTATTTTCAACTTAATCGTATAAAAAAAAAGCTTATTTTTAGTACCTCAATTCACTCACTGAAGCACATTAAGCAGATTAATTGCACGTGATGTTTTCTTTTAGGATTTTGTTTCTGTTTATTATATTTATATTTAATCAATAAATTACATTTAAGGTTATGAAAATGCATGTAAACCAATTAGACCAGAAAAATAAACAAAAATGAACTGAAATCTGGACTTAATGGTTATTTTCAAAAGGTATGTTCAATCTGACAACCTGCTCCAACAGGACACATATTCTAATCTATTGGATATTTGATGAGGCTCTAGTTTTCCTCTTCCTACAAACAAATACTGATAAAAATGCTAGAAACAGAGTCACCTCCAGAAAGGTTTCTGTAAAAGGTCACTGAATCGCCATAACACAAGAGCCGCATTGAGGTACAGATTCAGCTTCCCTTTGTGATTAATAAGATTATTTATTTATTTAATTAATTTGCAGTTAATTAAGTGCTTTTCAATAAAATGCAATGTTACAGAAAAGAAAATGCAATTCAGTAATTCCCTAAATTATTTTTGTTTCAAAACTTACAGCTCACGAAAGGCTGTAAGTTTTTATGGTTCAATAACCATGAAAAAAAAATCATAAATTCAGCATCTCAGAAAAATAGGATTATACATAAAATAAACTGACAAAAAAACAAACATTTGAGCTCCTTTAAATCAAAACAAAAGCCCCATTTGTTTAGAATTGCTACTAACCCTTAATTAAGGGAACATTAACCAACATGTATTAATAACTCTAATTATGTCACCTGACAAAATATAATGTTTGCTATTGGTTTTTATGACAGTTTAATTATGTTTTTTTTATGCTTTCCGAATGAAAATTCCTTTGAACTGCAATCTTGCTGAAATGTGCTGTGCAAATCAACTTGATTGAGTCATTCATTCATTCATTGAAAATATCTTTTTAAACTGTAAATGCACTTAATACTTGGTCAACGCTCCTTTCACATGAATTAGTGCATCGTTGCATGATCAGTCTGTAGAACTGTTAATGTGTCAATAAGGTCCAGGTTGCTTTGGTATCCATCCATTATCTAAAAGTTTATCCATTCAGGTGTCAACAAGAGGCATGGGACCTACCTTCAGCAACCATCAGCTGAGAGGAAGAGTACACCCTGGACAGGTCACCAATCCATTGCAGTGTGACACAGTGACAGATGGGAAAAGCAGCTATGCATGCACACACACCCCACATAAGAATAATTAGATAGACCAGTCAACCTACCGGATGCGTTTTTGGACTGTGGGAGGAAACTGGAGTACCTGGAGAGAATCCACTCAGACATTGAGAGTACTTGTAAAATCCATGCACTGGGATTCAAGCCCAGGACCTTCTTCCTGCAAGACAACAGTTCCAGCCAAGCACAGTAATGCCATGGCTTTTAAACCTGACCGGTGAGCAACAGTCGAGTCCTTTTTCTCTTAGTCCAGGTAGGAGACTTCTGCAGCTTTCCCTTGATCGGAAGGAAAGTAACCGTAGCATTCTGTGCCCTGGACACGTCTGTGTGGAGTGCCTCTTAAAGCTCTGCTCCTGCTGCTGTTAAAGGCTTGTAAATCTCCCCTCTCTGCAGCAGTGTCTCTGGATTAATTCCCCGAGCAACATTTTATTGAACAGGCACGGAAAGTTAACACCACCTTCAATTTAAGCAGCATAAAATGAGGTAAAAAAATTTAGAGGTGAAAAAGAGGACTGCATAAGGAGGAGGTATATTGATTTGTATATGTGGCAGATTGAGGATAATCAAGGCTCCCATTCAGTGTTTGTATTTATCCCAGAAAAAAAAAAATCACCACACTGGTCTCCTATACAACTTCTTTTAGCCGCCTATCACTCACCATTAGATTTCACTATACAATTAGTAGTTTTTCTATTAACATTTTCAAGGACGTTTTGGCTGGTCCTTGCCCACCAAGTCATTTCAAGTGGACAAGTCAAAATTTCAGTTGTCATACAATAGTTTAATTACATACATCATAGGGTCCTAGTTCTGATTGCACTGGATTTAATTGAAGGGTATCACGGTAAAACGGTATAAATGCAAACAAAGATAAAAATTCATTATCTTGGACTACTTTGTTTTGGTAAATAAAATAAAAATACTATTAAAACACTTTAACATCTGTAACTTGACACAGAGAGCATTTCATTGGCTCGAGGCCTCTGACGCAGCCGTGCGCCGTCAACCAATAAATTAAAGCGACTCTCCCTTTCGGCGTGTTTTCGGAGAGAGAGGTTGAAAAGGTGGGTGTCGCGCTGCATCCTGGGTACACATAGCTTCGCTGTGATGCAGTGAGCTCGTTGTGTTGACTGGTTACCAGCGGAAAGTGCGCGGCGGGGAAGGGGTCTGCCGCCGAGGGGTGGGCTTTCAGCGAGTTTCTACAATGCGTCTTTCACCGACTTGAACGCTCTCACAGAACCATGAGCCAACTTCGCCGGCTGCCTGGGAGCGGACTGAGCCACATCTGAGCCCCGACGACGAGCGCTTGTTGGCGGAGGGAGCGAGCATGAAGCAGCCGAGCGCTCCGCTCTCTGTTGTCGGCTTGACTGGGAAATGGTAGCGCGCTGCAGGGACCGCCGCACTGGGAAGGACCATGGTCGAGAGGAGCAGCAAATTCTTGTTGATCGTCATCGGATCCGTGTGTTTTATGCTGATCCTCTATCAGTACGTGGCCCCCGGGGTGATCAGTTTCGGCTCCCCGCACGGTTACTTCACGGAGGACGACGAGGGGGACATCTTCCCCACGCCGGACCCCCACTACGTTAAGAAATACTACTTCCCCGTCAGGGACCTGGAGAGGACCGTCGACTTCCAGATCAAGGGGGAGGACGTGATCGTGTTCCTGCACATCCAGAAGACGGGGGGCACGACCTTCGGCCGGCACCTGGTCCAGAATGTCCGCCTGGAGGTCCCCTGCGACTGCAGACCGGGCCAGAAGAAGTGTACCTGCTACCGGCCGAACCGCAAGGAGACCTGGCTCTTCTCGCGGTTCTCCACCGGCTGGAGCTGCGGCTTGCACGCCGACTGGACCGAGCTCACCAACTGTGTGCCGGGGGTCCTCAACAAGAAGGAGAACAAGCAGAAGAACCAGAGGTAAAAACCGGGACGTGTTTGTTTTGTTGAAGCCCGTAAAGAAGCCCCGGCAGTCCGGTGCGTCTGGGAACCAGAGCTCAGATCAGTCCAATACTGCTGGAACCTGCTCCGCAGAAACTTTCAAACCAGATTGTTCAGTTTTTACATTATTAAAGATTCCTTTTGCAGACTATAAAGTTATAAGCTAATTTGGCCAGTGTTTATTTTCATACTAACAAGGAAGGAGGGAGGCACCCTAATCAAGATTAATAGACTAATTAGAGATGAAATGGAGTACATTCCACACGTCACATCTTCTTCTAAGTATTAGACATTTATATTTATTTAATAACTTTTATTGCATCAGAAGCAATCAAGTGTTTTTCCTATTTCATATCAATCCCTGGAAAGTGTTTATTCCTGTCAGTGATGTCTGGAGCTGAACTGATCAGAGATCTTCTCAATACTGTTCTCTGTTTTTTGTTTCGCTTTAATTTTCAGGTGACTTGTTAATGCATAGCAGAGAAACTAAGGGTTTCTCTCACAGAGGATGTAGTTTAAAGTGTTTATTAAAGTGTATTTCCCTAGTCACAGATGCACTAACATCTACTTTGGTCAACTTTATCTTAATAAAAGGGTTGTTATGCTTTAAGACATAAATTAGGATTATATTGTAGTTCCCCCCTCACCCCTCTGTTTTTATTTTTATCTTATCAGATAACAAATAGAACAAGAATTCAGAACCAACCAGGAAAGACTGATTGGAGTGTTTATAATTCAAATTCTACTAATTAAAACATAATAAATTATTACATTATCCGTTTAAATGTTAAACGTTCTGTTTTTGTTGTCATAAACATACATCACTTTCTTTAGCCTTTCGTTTGAACCTTTTTCATTTTTGTCAAAAGTATGGCTTTGACCAGAGATGTACTGATTAGGCCTTTCCTGGCTGATAACGATTTATGAGCTTACTGATTTGATTAGATCTTCCCTAGTTGTGACACCGAGTAAACAGAACCTTATTTAACAGCCTGATCGCGCCGTAACTTAACGCATTGACACAATCAAAGCGACTCTTAATTAATTAACAGATGCCTTCTCATTACCGGATGGCAGAATGTTCTGGATAAAAGAAGAATAACCAGAATCGCTTGCCTCCTCTTGAAATGAAGGGACGATGATGGGAACATTGAGACGCAGATTGATTGACGTTACCAGGCGTTCTGCCACAGATGCTACGGAAGCGCTGACGTTTGCTGATGGATGCCAGTCAGAGGTTGTTGCCCTCCCACCGAATTACACTCCGAGCTTTGGCTGATTTCATCGTAGGGTTGGTGTTGCGCTCAGTGATAATCCCTTGTTTTGATTGCCAGATACTCAGACATCGATGCAGAGTCTTTTCGGGGTGTAACCCACTTTCCTCCCCACGCCTCCCCATTGTTGTAGCCCACATGCTGCATCCCTCACACAGACATATTGACAGCTGTATCAACTTCCATTTCACCGCACCCTTGCGGCCGAAGGGTGTGCTTGTTGAATGCCTTTGTGTTACCCAAGCTTGGTCAATATTTCTTTCTTTTTTTTTTTTTTTCTTACTTTTACTGATTAATAGGACAAAGAAGGGTTGAGAAGTAAGACTCAAATTTGTTAGGGGTGAAAGCTTCCCCTGATGGCTCAAACTGGGGATCAGTGCTGCTGCCTGGGCTGGGCAGGACACTCTGGAACTGGTGTGGTGGGGGAGGTAGCGGAGGAGGACCCTGCGGGGGTTTGGCTCCGCTCTAATCCGAGTGATTATTACTGCTGGGACTTGCACACACACATGCACACATTAACCCTGGTATTTTCTGCTCTGGCGTCAGCCCTGACTCCTGTGGTCTCCCTCCCGACCCCCCCCCTCGACCCCAGTCAGAGGTGATAACGTGCTCGGTCATTGTGCATCTCGAGCCGAGAGGTCGGAGCGCACGCGGAATGAACGGGCTTTCGCCACTTTGCGAGCAACGTTTCGAACTCACTCTCTTGTGCACTCAGAGCAGAACGAGGAGAAGAAAGGTCTGCATACAGAGACAGTTTCTGCCCTCAGGTTAAATCAGATATCCGATCCGTCCTGACAGCAGAAACAACGAACTATAAGCTTAATAACACCCCGAAGAAAAGCTGTGCCTGTCCACATTATGTGCAACACAACAATGGAAATTGGAAGCACATTCTCTCGCTGTCACATCTACGTTTGCCTCTCGTTTTTGTCTCGTTGCCCTTGTTTTGTTTTTTTTCCTTATTTAACGCTGAGCTCATTGTTTTGGTTCCATCACACCACTGCGTTCATGCGGGGAGCGTTTGTCTTCGGGCAAGAGGACGAGCGAAAGTGTAACAAAGATCATCTACGAGGGGGCTTTTGCGAGGCAGCTTTGCCTCATCGTCGGGGCAAAGCTTTCAAATCGTCTGTGCGTCTCGTCAGCATGGAGTAAATCCACCCTCGCTGACACATACACATTGCACATACGGAACATCTGCTCACTTTCTCAGAGGAAGTGGTTTTGGAGTCAAATATGTACTTATGAGAAGCAGGAAAGAGAAACGCGCTCATCCAGAAATGTTCGATCATGCAGCAGCATCGGTCCATGTGCCGAGATCCATCATCTCTATCTCTCTCCCTCTCTGCAGCTGGGTTCCTCTGCAGCTGTCAAGTGGATTTTCACGCAAATGATTCAAATTGCTGCAAAAAGCAAGTGTGAATTGAACAATTTAAAGATGGATTTTGACAACCAGATGTCCAGACTGTTTTAAAAATAAGTCTACAAAGAAAATGGGAACAATTCAATGGCAGCTGAAACCATTTGGATGTTCACTAGCTCATCTGTTTAAAGAACAGTTTATACTTTCCCATGTTTATTCATCGTTGTGCAATAAATCAAAGTCCATCTGCCCTATAAACTGACCAGCTGCGCTCTGATGATGTTTTTCACTGCATTTTTCAATGTAAAATCCAACCTCAAATTTTTTCCTAGACCATTTTTTACCCCTTAAATATTTTTTTATTTAAAATATTCATTTTAAAACCTGATATATTTTGCCATGTACACAGCAAGCATGCAGAAGGTGAGCAAAACAAATGTAACTTCTGTGGCCTCGATGCAAAACTTCCAATACTCCATGCCCACAATCTCTTTACGGTGGTGGCAGCGTCATGCGGACAGGATGCTTTTACTGGTCTGTGAAGTTAGTGAGCTAATGATGGATGGAGCTGGAAACAAAAACTCTTGAGCTGTTTGTCAAAGCAGAATAGGACTCAACTATTGGAGCGTTCAATTTAATTTAGGGTGTTGGAGTAAAGACAATGCCCACCACTCTCTTCGGATCTGTTTTTGTAAAAAGAAAATTATTAAAAGCACATGTAATTCAGAATTACGTGATGAAAAATGAGAGTTCACAGTGTGTGAATACTTCAGTAAGGTAATGTAGGTAAGGAGGAAGTGAGCCGGGCAGAGATGATACTATTGTGTGTGTGTGTGTGTGTGTTTTGGGGGGGGGGGGGGGGGGGGGTGCGTGTGTGTGTGTGTACCAGACGGTCGGGTCTATCGCTGATCTGTGATTGGGCGAGGCAGAGATGAACAGTATTGTAGGAGAACGGATCTCACACACTCAGCAGAGCGCTGCTCACAGACCATCAGTCACTTCAAACATCTCATATCCGCTCTAATGTTTCCCGTTGATCCTTTGGATGAACACATACACACACACACACACACACTTGCGCGCACCCACGCATGCATACACACACACACACACATATATATGCACACGCATTTAGAGTTGATTGCCACAAACAGGCCCTAATGCAAGCTTTAAGAGATGGGAGTTGTAATTGGTTAAGGAGGTTCCTATCACTTTACTCAAATTAGAGCCACATTTTGGGATGGATGGAGGGAATAGGGGGGCACCATCTGTCCTTTTGCAGGCTTACACACATCTTCCAACCTTGTTGGTGCCTGTTTTTTTGTCCTGCACTCGCCATTAGAGAGTGCCTTGGTAAGCAAAGTGATGGGGCTAATTTTACCTCCTCCGTCTCCACGTTCTCTCAGATCACCCCTTCCTTCTTCCCTTCATTGCCTTCTCTCTCGCCTCCGCTGAAACACACCCTCTCTCCATGCTGCCATCCTTCCCTCCATTTGTGAGGGTGTCACTTCATAATCAAACAGCAGGCTTGCTTTTTCGCTTGGTGGCTTTATGGCCAGGGGGGGGCTCTTTCTTTCTCTCCCTTTCTGTCTCTCAGCCTCACTTCTTCCACTCCCCCTCTTTTCCCTGCCTCTCTCCTCTCTGCCCTCTTGTCTTTCTTTCCATCCTTTGCCATCTTTCTCTCCCTTTCCCTCCGAGCGTGACTGCCGCATTAGAGGGAATGTCTTTTCATGGAAGATTTGCTGCAATTTCCAAAATGGCTGCTTTGCCTAATGGACAACTGCCTTGGTTCTAATGAGTGATTACATGTGTGAGGCTGTGGCGGGGAGACGGAGTGGGGAAGGGGTTTGCCGGCAAGGAGCGAGGCGACAGAGAAGGCGATGAAGAGGATGAGACAAGAGAGGAGCTGTCAGAGTGACTGAAAAGATAAAGGACTGGGGGGGTAAAAACATTTAGCTTCATTGCTGGGGAGGGGGCTGGTCGATTAGCACGGTTGTCAAGCACTGGGCATTCCTCTTCTTTCTGTGGGTTTGTTTCAGATTCACTGAGCAAATCTCTGCACTCTATGATGGCTCTGTGAATAAGCACATGCATGGTTGGGGGTTGGGGTGGGTGGGCTGAGTGGTGAGGGGGCATGAGAGCGGATGCATGTGCATGTGGTAGCCCAGCGTGATGCCAGCAGTCAGTCAGCACGACCTCGAATCCAGATGAACTCGAGGAAGCTGCGGAGGCCGTCCCAGCTGATTGGCGTAAACTGAAAAAAACCCAGGCGTGGCACTCTGTGTCTACGTGCTTGCACGTTCGCAAACGCACTCTGTGTTTTTGGTCGGGCAGTTCTGCCGTTA